GCCAACCCGGAGGACAGGAAATGCATTCCAGATGAAGATACTACATTGTGGTTTATTTTACCAGTGTGTGTGTGTGTGTGTTTGTGTGTTGTCAGGAATGTGTGCTGTAGGACTGACCATATGTCTCTCGAGGTACATACAGACACTAGCAGCTATTCAGCAGCTGTCAATGTTGTATTAATTCGCTATGCTGTCACAAAATCTGACAACATACAAGCATGGACATAGGGAGAAAAGGTTAATACTTATCTTGAAAGCACCAAAAGCAAATAAAGAGAAACTGTTATCTATAAATCCCTGTCAACAAGTAAAAAACTTTGGAGTAATCTTTGTTTTGGATCTTAGTTTTGAACCTCACATTACAAATATAACTAAAAATGTATTTTATCATCTTAAAAACATTGCGTTTCTCTCTCAAGCTAATACAGAGACATTAATACACACTTTTATTACCTGCAGGTTTGATTACTGTAATACTTAAAGTCTTTGCATTGCCTACCTGTGTGCTTCAGAATCGATTTTGAGATCCTTTTATTTACCTGAACCCTCTAGAACCCTCAGGGGTGGGAGGGTGTTTTAATGTGTGAAGCACATTTTAATTGTATTAAAAGTGATATACAAATAAAGTCTGATTGATTGGTTGGTTGGTTGACTTTGGCAAAAATGTTGACAGGGTTGCTTTGATGAATTACTATGTCAAGTTGTGTTTCTACACTGAGATTTATGGAAAACCAGTGACCTCCCAGAATATTCCAAATCTAAAAACTTGATAGTCTAAGCTTTGGAAAATGGTTGCCAGTAACGTCAAGTAGACACATATCTGCATTTCTTTGGCCAAAACATTTAAAACCACCAGTACAATAATAACAATTCAATGGTTTACGTTGAGTCCAATCTGAGGCTTTGGTGACCAAATCCTAACTCCTGGCTGGTTGCACTGTATGACTGACTGAATCCTGGCTTCCACAGGTGTGGCAGGTGATCTGAGCGATGAGTGAGTTCTTCCTGGGGTAACAGTAGCCCCAGCCAGCTTCCCCTGTTGCCCAGCCCCAGTCTGCCCTTTCCTGTCGTCTTATCTGAGCATCCAATGCAATCCAACCCAGGGTGCGGTCCCTCTGCTCCTCAATTCCCCTCGCTGCCGGTCTCCATCGCTGGTCTTCTCAGATGTCACTGTGAAGAGAGAATGACCCGCTTGAATTGAACTTGAGTTGGGCTGACTGACAGAGTCCTGACACCCCATTGTAGGCACAACTGTCTCAGCTTCCTGCCACCCACAGCTTCCCACCCTCTGACCTCCATGGCACCAAGGGCAAAAGGAGCACAGACAATGAGCTACACAGCTGATATAATTAGAATTTTGTTCATCATGATGAACACTGAGACAGCGGTGATTCTTTCTCCAGACTTGATAGAGAAGTAATTGAAGTTTCCTTGAAAAGCTGTAAAGACAAATAAGATTTGGTTGTAGGTTGGGCCAGAGGGACATGCTGATGTAGTTGAAGGGCTTTCTGATTAGCAGAGTGGAGACTTAATGTAGATCCTGTAGGGACAGAGACTTGTACTTCCTCCAACTGTCTGGGTTTAATTAAGCGGACCAGTCAACCAGCAGCCAGCCGACTAGCTTCTTTTACATTGTGACTTAGAGCAAAAAACTCGGATAAATATGATCACTGAAGCTAAAAAAGACTTTCGTGTTCAGCACCATAGAAACAAACAGTATAAAATGTTTTACTGACCATGTTTTAGAACTCTTACTGTGCTTATTCAACCATTCATGTACTTATTTATCTGCTAACTCAGTCACTCAATGGAAAAATTAAGCTTATTAAAAAAAAGAGCACAGACTAAAGCAAATTTGACACTAATTTAAGTAGAAGAAACTAGTGCGATTTTCATGCTTTAACACATCAGTGCTTGGTAACCTGAATAGGACTTGAATCATTTTCGAATCATCTATCATTTGCATTCCTGCCAAACACACTATAAACATGTTTCCACATGCACTCATTCCAAAGCAGAGCTGCCAAACAGCAGTCGAGCGTTGCTGAAAGGAGGCTTATCACAGCCCTCTATGATTTTCCTTGACAAAGAAATTGTTTTGTTTTGTTCTTATTCAAGGGTATATGTGACCTAAGCTACACTCATTTTAATATACTGTATATAGTCCATGTATGCGGTATAGATACTTTATATTTTTATATGCACATTTTGAGCCAGTGTCTCTGGGCCTGGCTGATACTGGAAGTTGCGTACATTCACAAAGATGGAAAGGTTTGTGGGGGCAAAATCTGATTAAGCGGTGTGTGTGTGTGTGTGTG